CTGGTTCAGAAAAATCTTCACACCTCTGGGCAATGAAACGCCTTTGCAACTCCACTGCATGTCCTCGGAGAAGAGGTTGTAGTTGCAACTGTTCAGAGGGTAGACCAATCCAATGTGAAACTTCCTGCCTTTGAGCTCTGAGTCTGGCGGCAGTGGCAACCATCCGTCTTGATCTTGAAGAAAAGCATGTTGGGTCTCTCCCAACCAGTGCGGAACTTGTACAAGGGATTGAATTCCAGGCAAACTCCAAGTGGCTTCGCAATTGGAGGAAAACGTCAAAAGAAGGATGGCCGCCATCTTCGCGACTGAAGCCACCTTGCTAGCCAAACCACAGTCTAAGATCTGTGCGCTGTGTTTCAGCTCGGCTCGAATTGTGGTGCGAACCTTGGTGTCGTGGGACTTTGTCTTGTGAGCCTCAAAAGACTCGAAGCACTCCAAGTCATCCATCTTCACGGGTCCAGGATGTGCTCCCGCTCCAGGGCTGAGACATACTCCATGCCCAGGCCCGTCGTTGATTCCACCATGTCCCGCTGCCAATCTGCATTCATCATGGCTATCTCCTCGGCTGAGAAGTCTTCGTCTGCTGTCACCATTTCCACCTCGTCCATGTCGTTGCCGGCCAACGTGAAGACCTCGACCTGGGATCCTGACGCTCGACTTGGGTCTGGCGTCGGCGTCTTCGACCTTTGAACTGGCATCAGGCCGATCATCTTTTCCGATCCCTGCTTCTGCAAGGTCCTTCCACGTGACTCGCTTGGTTTTGAGGTCACGGCTTTGGCCTTGGGCAACTGGTTGATTGTCACCTTCTGCGTTTTGAGATCTGGGCGGCTTCTCGGTGCAGGCAAAAACTTTGGAAAGTTCTCCGCCGGGACCGTTGTCTCGATCACCTGAGTTGAACTGGAAGCTTGGGACTGAAGCCTTTCCCAGCGACCTCCACATTGCAGGCAGGTGTACCAGAAGTGCCCTTTTCCAGCTCGGTGACGAAGGTACTCCTCCTCGTGGATGCATTCCGACACCTCTCGGTTCCAAGCTGTCTGAGCTTTGGAGCGACTCAGAGGCTTTCCAATGGCCTGTCTGGCCACTGACTTCGGATCCTTGGACTTCCGATCCTTCTTGGTGTTCTTCTGGTCCTCGTCCTCTGCCGGGGCTTGGATCGGCTTTTTCAACAGGTACTCCATGGCCATGGTATGTCTGGTGTTGGACATCATCATCAAGAGTGCCAACACAAGCCTTCTCCAAGTTGTCGCCGGCTTGGACTGTGATGGAGGACTGATTGGTCCGGCAGCTTCGCTCTTCACCATCTGTCTGCAAGACTCTCGAAGACTGCTCATTGCGAAAACGTCTGGGACACCAAAAGTTGTGGTTGAAGATCAGATCTTTGAGCATTTGGAACGGCTTTTCGGCATTTGTCGATTCTGCACTGCCAGCTTCATGCGACCAAGTGTTGGTCATCAAACGATCAGCAGCAACAAAATTGGGAAAGAAAATTGATGCCAACCAACCCAAAACTTGTTTGTTGCTGATGGAGTTTGGCCGCAAATCAAAAACTGGTGAATCATCACAAACTTCTGCCAAATGTTCATCACAACTTGCCAAATCAAACTCGAAAATGGGACCCGACGGCACCTGCATTGAAGCTGCTGCTGCAATTGATTGATGCCCGTCCTGAGGTCGCGGCAATGATGAACATGACAAAGTTGCTGTCGGGGTGAATAAAACATCTGGGGCATGTTGATGTTGTGCTGAACATGGTGATGGTGATGTCAATGTTTGAGATGATGACATAGTCTGAGATGATGGAGATGGCAAACTTTGAGATGTTGACATTTGACATGATGTTGAGACCTGGTCATCAGCTCTTTTCCCACCATGGCCGAACTCACGTCGAGCAGTGTTTGCCCAGGTTGAGCTTGATGATGGGGCTGCCGAGCTGGAGCTCGATGAAACATGGGTGAAAGCTCTGCGAGTGGTCTCATCAGCAATGACAGGTTGGTTCGATACTGAACCACTGGTGTTCACCACCACGTGCTGATTGGAGGCAAAGATCACTGCCCCATGCCACTGCTCATCAAGTTGACGACTGGCTCGTGCATCTTGCCAGTAGTCTCGAATCACCATATGTCTGCCACCTTGCAAAAACGCATGGGTCAATCTCTCTGGTTCCAAGGTTGCAGGGTCTTGGATCAAAGCACATTCCTGCGGCAGTACCATCTGAAGTCTGCCCTGAGATGGAAGGTCTTGCAAATGGTGCAGTTGCTCATCCACCAACAACCAAACTGAAATCACTGGAGTTTCTTCATTGGCTTCCTGGTTGACCATCGCCTGAAATGTTGGGATCACAAACGGATCAACATTGGGATCTCGCCGAAGGTGTTGAGGCAAGTCCCAACCATCATCTGAAAAATCCATAATGCTAACAGCTCGATGTTTGGTGGGCAACCTTCGCATGTTGGTTGAGGATCCGTCTTCCAGAAACAACAGGTCATGTTTGCAGTCTATGGATGCACCCACGGATTCCAACCATCCAATTGGCAACAATGGCGGGGTTCTGTGATGATCCCCATCTTCCAAAATTGTAAATTGAAGTACACCATTTGATCCAGCAACACCGATTGGAACATGAGCTACGCCTTTCACTGTTGCAGCTCCACCAATCCCACCAGCTCCTGGGAGATTTCCACCACGCTGCCACTGCGGTCTCAACCCTTTCTTTTTCAGTTCCTTTTCAAGCATCTCCATAGCATGATGTCCAATCACTGCTTCTTCAGCAGCCGTGTCTACAAGAGCTTCATCAGGTCGACATTGAACTGCATGAAAAATCATCAGTCTGTATGGTGCTCCACGGTCTGCTGAACGTTCTGAAGGAACCACGTATCCAGAGTTGTGCATAAATACCTGTGGTCCAGTGGAAGTCATCAGAAACTGTTTCCTGGCATTGTTTGATCCAGGTGAGGGTTTCTTGTTCTGGTCATTCTTGAAGGGACAATCTTTGGACATGTGACCCAGTTCGTCACAATTGAAGCATCTGGTCCTTGACAAAAGGTCATCCTCGTAGGACTTGAGGTAGCGCGTTCCCTTCGAGAACTTGCTTTTGCCCTTTCCAAAGTTGTTCCTGGGGCCTTTACGTTTGCCCTTTCCCTTTCCACTGCCAGAATCATGCCGTCTCTTGACATAGCCTCTTTCGTTTCGGCGCTTCTGCAATTCCTTGCGGACATCTCTGTACGCACTGTGGTATGCCAGAATTTCCACAGTCTCCTCCTCATTGAAGGTGCGGTCTTCAAAGTAAATGAAGGGATGTCCTTCTTCATCTTGAGATGAAGAATCTTCCACCAACTCATCGTCATCGTCTTGAACATCATCCACATTGTTCCACTGCTGTTGATCTTCTCCACCATCCATATTGTAACCTGCGTAGTTACGACTCTGCACACCAGATTGGGCCTTAACCAGCATCTCAGGCCTGTCCAGTGTACGCAGCATTGTAGCGACTTCATCAAAAGTCCTCAAGGCTGGTCCACGAAGCATGAGCATCTCTCTCTGAAACTCGTTCAACCCAGCTTGCCTCAGAAGAATCCTTCCGCAAAGACGGTCTGAGATGACCTCACCCAATTGGCTCTCCATCTCCTGACGCGCCAACTGCTTGGAGGCTATAAAGGAGGTAAAACTTTCGGCCTTCTGTCGCTCACCTTCATAGATGAACTTGTCCACAGCCTTTGGTGCTGAAGCTTCCAAGTAGGGAAAGTACTTCTCATAGATTGCACTCAGCACTGAGCTGTATCCAGAAGGCGACAGCAAAACATGCATTGGAACTGTATCCGCAATTCTGCGGGGTTCCGATCCCTCTGCAAAGCTCTGCAAAAGTTTCACTCCTCTTCGCTCCATCGGCATCTGAGATTCATGTTCCCATAGTGCAAGCAGTTTGAGCCAACTCCGCAAAGTGCTTGGTTGACCGTTCCAGACAGGGATGTTCTTCTTCTCGCCAGTCAATGCCTGATTCAATGCTTGTGCAACCAATTGGTTGGATTGTGCAGGACTCATTGGAACGTTTGGGCTCTGTGGGACAAATCCCTGTTGCATATGGCCTTGTGGCCGTTGATTCCCCAGCAAATCAAACGCCGAGTTCTTTGTAGCTCCTGAAGTCGGTGCTGAAGCACTTCCAAGACCTAAAGCCGAAGAAAATGCTGCTGCACCAAAACCAGTGTTCTGCTGAGTGGGACCTGCGGTTCTAAAGAATGGCCCACCAGCTGTCGAAGAAACCGGCACAGAAAAACCAGGATGAAACATTTGTGGTGAAAACATCTGCGGCACTCTTCCCGAAGCATCACCCGTTGAACTGCTAGCAGCTGTAGCTGAGACTGATGAATGACCTTGCATTGTGCCTGAAGCAGCAAAACAGGATTGGCCACCCATCGCAGTTGTAGCACCTTGGTTTTGCAAGTATTGTGCCCAGGGATCTGCAGGAGGAAGATTATTGCCAGGTTGCATTGTCTGATCGAACCTGCTCCGCTCACCACTGTTAAGGTGAGATGTTATGCCGACCCCTCCACGGGGTATTCAAAGAAACAACATGGCTATCGCATGCAAGCGATCTTTTGGACGGAGGTTGCGCAGGCCAGTCAGCTCAAGGCCTATTTGAGAAAACACGGCCACCGGATGAATCAGAGGTCAACACAACACTGCTGAATGTGCTATCAGTGGAATTACCTGAAAAGTGTAGTTACATATTTGAAATATTTTGAAATCATATTTGTACACATGGAAAAAATGCACAACGGTGAAGTCAAAGAGGGCCTGTCCTTCGCAGTATTCTTAGTGCGAAACATGTTGTGAGGACAAACTAAGTAAAAACAAAACAAGCTTTGCATTAGCTTTGGATTAGCTTTGGATTAGCTTTGCATTAGCTTTGCATTAGCTTTGCATTAGCTTTGCATTAGCTTTGCATTAGCTCTTGGATGCTCTTGGCATAGAGGAGGGTCGGAATCGAAACATGGGTCCCGTGCTGATAGCATTGGCAGTCAATACCTTGCAGGGAGCTGGAAAATCTTCCTGAATGCCAGATCTCGTGTCATTTTTCAATCCAAGGCTCCGAGAATCAAACTCTTACGCTTGCTGTGATGAATAATATGTTTTTCTGAGGAAAATAATACCATAAGACACCTGTTTCGGTCTCTGTCTGTTTTTGCGTGCGCATGTGAAAGGGTATCTTGGTTTATTTGAATAGTTTTTGTGGGTCACCAAGATACCCTCGGCATCATGTTTCCGGGGTTCCCCGGGGGAGCCTTGAAGCAGTTGTATCGCGAGATGCCTTTCAGTATAGCCTGGAATCCTGGACATGTCTATATCTGGCCGTGTCTGCCAGTGCTCGAAACATGTGATGTGCGAAGCAAACGTGGGTCACCGTGGGTCACTGCATTGAGTCCAGTTGAAAGCAGCGACTCGTCAATGGAATCTTGAGCTCTGTTTCCAGGGTCCTTCATCACCAATATCCCCATTCTCAGACCTTAGCCCGAGTGGAAGAGCTCTAAGTGCGGACACTTTCGGAATCTGATTGACTGTGAATAATCCGTTCAAGATGAATAGAGATGAACAGACTTACATCAGTCACTGGAGCTCAGGAGTTACCTCGACGAAAGCGTCTAAGATCGTCTAAGGCTTATTTTATTTCTTCATATTTATCCTAACATATCCTAATCAATTCCTAATCTCATCTAAGTTCATATCTGTTCTATTTGTGCTATCGATTTGCTCCCCGACCTGAGGAGCTGAGGACGGAACACGTCCAAGGCTGTCACACCTTGCAACTCATCGTGCTCCGGGGCCTCTGCCGTGGGATCGAACTCCTGGAGCTGCGTCGCATGCGTCGTTCATCGTCGTTCCCTCCAAGATGTGGAACGTTCACTGTCAGATTGAATGTGTACGACGTACAGGATGGACTAAAACGTACAGCATCGGCCAAAATGAGTGTCTTTATGTGTCTTTCGGAACATGAAGGGTTTCGAAAGACAAATCAGGCGCAAGGAGAAGCACTGTGTCATTGCACTGCCATGATATGCGTCACTGTCGCTCCTCATCTTCATCCGCAAACCCTTCACCGTCACTTGAGACCTTGGGACAGGTCAAAGCTCACGACAGGTAGAAACACATCTTGAGTCAATGTTATTAAGCAGTTTTGAGCAACATTGGATTTCAAGTCCTAAAGCGCCATAAATGTGCCTCCTCCTCCTCCTCTTGCGGGGGCTCAGCGGCGTCCCTCAAGCAAGACACTGATCAAAGGAAAGTGTCCCTGCAGAGTTTCTTCGTCCAAACAACTTGTCTCACCGTTGTTGAGCTGCACAACTGGAGCTCAGCAAAATATCCATTCTGAACATTTCAAAACTTTGACCTCGTGATTGACATCCCGATTCGTTCACAAGTTCAAAGTGCTTTCTGGTGTGGCAACCAAGCCAAAATTAAGCATCACTACATAAGCATGATAAATCTGACACAAACTCAGCTTCGCGGAACGACAGGCTAAAGTTTCATCCAGATGAAATCGCATGGTAGTTGTGGCGATCGCAAATCATCGAACGCATTTCGCCAAGCTGCCAAATCTTCGCCAATTCTTTCGCCTGGCTCTAGACTTGCACCTACGACGAGGACCTACGACCTTCTATGGTATGCTCGGAAATGAGAATGCTTCGAATGCATCGAATGCTTCGAATACTTCATCCAGAATCATCCTGACATGTCCAATATGTCCAGATCACATTGCGACTGCAGTGCCATCTGCTTTGAGTGCTTTGTCTGCCTTGTCTGCTGTATTTGTATCCTTGCCATCAAAGAAAACTCCCCTGCCATTACTTAGGCATTGCTTAGGTATTGGTTTGGCATTGCTTTCCCTATTTGCTGCAGATGGCACAGGAAATAGCTAGGCGTAGCTAGGTGCCCCAGCAGCTTCAACACCAATGTCGTTCTTCCTCAAGATCAGCCGACGACAGGGTCTCGTCCTGGCAAGCCTGGTACACTGCACAAGTTGCAAGTAGTCCAAGGACTTGCTGTCAAAATGGTGCCAAATGGTGCCAACAAAAAAACAAAACAACCATCGAGGATTTCAACATCCAAGATCAGGTGTACCACAACTGAACATGCTACAGTGATCTACAGTGACTGTAACTGCAAACGTTCTTGGAAGATGTACAACCAGCCGTCAAAAAAGGCAACAGCCATATCTATTCGTGGACGGTGCTGTGTCGCCTGTCCGTCTTGCAGAGTGCATGTACGAGCATGGTGATGCTGGTCAGGTTGATGCCTTACACTCTGTGGACTCAGTGCCAAGTTTGCATCATATGAGTCACATCCATATGACTCTGTGGTTTCATACGATATGAGTTTGATATGAGTCATATGGTGTCCCATAAAAGCATTCCTTCGACTTGGAGGTGGGCCATTGTCGGACAGGTCAATACCTTCCGTCCTCAGTGCATATCAACCCGAGACAAAGACAGAAAGCCAAACGTCGACACTGGTTACTGGTTCTCTTTTCCTTGATTTTTTTGCAATGCTTTGCATGATATTTGCTCGAAAATCCATTCTTTCAGCGTGTTCTTGTTGCTGCGCTGAGGCAAGAGCTCGTTGCCCACAACAAGCAAACCCATGGCCACCCTTAGCTCTAGGTTTGCCATGGTTTCCCATCTGATATCGCCCTACTGTCACATGATAGGCCAAGGGCCTATCGGGCCTAAGGGCCCTTTGCCAAAGTCCTTGCCATGTGCTTGCTTTGATATCTTTGATCTGATGCCACCTTTGGACAGGACCTCTTCATGAAGTGATTCAGGCTGGCAAGAAGACCCTGGTATTGACCTGTCAAAGAGATCAGAGGCAGAACAGATGGCAGGGCGCATAGACAATTCATAAATTTGAAAGAAAAAGCGCAAAATGCTCAAAATGATGTTGTTTCCGTTGTTTCCCTGAAAAAGTGTGGAAAGTGGAGCCAACTCTGCGCTGAGGTCTAGGCCCGTTTCAGGCGTTTGGCTTCCACCCCAAACATCTGCAAAGTTCAGAGCAGAGGCCTCAGGGCTACGACGGCTACGACGACGACGAGGCTACGAGATGCTCGGACGGCTAGGACCCGCCAGGAGGCACATAATTCTTCGTGAAACGTCCAATGAGGCATTGAAGACAGCGGAATGGCGGGAAAATTGTGTTGGCTCAGTTGGCTCTACAGTTTTCTCGGTGTTTTGTCTCTAGGGCCTCCCTGCATACCAGCGCGTCTCCAAAAAACCGCGCTTTTTGACCCGGCGCCACACCTGAGATATGGGAGGGCTGTTCAAAGTGAAAGCGACCCGTTGGACCTGGGAAGATTCGCAAGGAAATTTCTTGATTTCGAAAAGATTCCACGAAATGTTCTGAAAAAGAGGACCCAGGGAAACCCAAAGCGCACGGCACCATCCCTGGGCCCAGCACCTTTCTGGTCTGAAAGTCAATGCCTGAGAGAAAGGTTCGGTTCGTTCAATGTTTCAACAACTCTGTGACTCGGCCAACAAGGGCACTCAACAAGGGCCACATGATGACATGGCTGAACCTCGAACACTGACTCGACTTTCAAATGCACCTGAGATTGTAATCATCTCCATGCAGTGGCACTCCACAACCTGAAAGTTGCGCAAAACGTTTGCACGAATCGCAAAATGGAAATGTGATCCACAACGGTCCGAGTGGATTCCGAGTGGATTCCGAGTGGATTCCGAGTGGATTCCGAGTGGATTCCGAGTGGATTCCGAGTGGATCTTAGGTTGTATATTGGTTGTATATTGGTTGTATCATAGCCTTGCAGTCCATTGAGTCTCCACACAGCTTTCATCAGTTCTGCCAGATGCTCATTCTCTACTGCAGTGTCGTAGCGTCTGCACAGGGCAGAAAAATGTACTGTAAAGCTCTCGTAGCTTCTACCAACTTCAACTAATATGAAATTCATAGAAACGTACTTTGTGTATCTTTGTGTACTCACACAGCATTTCTCTTTCTGTACTCTTTCTGCATCCTTTTGGCTTGGGAATACAAGGCCAGCAGCTTGCGGGATTTTGAGGGAGGAAAAGAGCAACGTCCTGCTGAGGCAAGGGATTGATTTCATGTGCCAACGTATGTAGTTGTCATTCAAAACAAATAAAACAACATATTTATGTATATATATATATGTATAGTACTAGAATTAGAATACATGAATAAAACATCTGCTCCGAACCCAGCAACAAAAGCCTGTCATCGTCTTTCTGGTCCTTGAGATTGCTCAAACACAACATCTCGATTCCGGTTTCTTAGTGCAAGTATCAACCTTGTCCTTCAAATTTCAATAGAATCGTGTAGAATCGTGATACAAAATGTATGTTTGAAGCAAGGAAAATATATTCGGACAAAGAACCACTGCTTGCCAAGAATCTATGATGATCTTGTTCAGCGTGAGGGTGTTTTGCAGCACCCTCGAAAAACCGACGTTTCCACAAGGAACATGTGAGGAACATGTGAGGAACATCCGTATGCCTCACTCCACTGTTTCTTTGCAGGATCTGAGATGATCTGAGGCGTCGCATTCTGCCATGTTCTTCCAATGCTTGGTCTTCATCTATGACTCGCGTATGGCTCGTCTATGACCACTGCCACTCGGGAATTCAATTGGTCGGCAGGATGCCTGATCACTTCCTTCACCTCCGGCATGGTGAAATCCCAGAAGCTCAGATTCCACACGCCCCTCTCCTAAAACGCATGTCGACACATCACTAAAACATACTAAAACCCAACACCAACACACACACACACACAAACACACACTTGCTCAGACTTTTTTTTTATCGAATTGTGATGTGGAATGCATCGGACGTGCAAAAACACTCCAGTAAACCTGATCAGAATAAAAGAAATTTGAGATTGGGAGCTGACCCTTGCCTGTTAGGTTCCAATAGACGCCAAAAAAGTACCAAATAAGTTGTGGGAGCAACCATCGCCATAGCCGGGAAAGTCACATCACCGTTTGAGTTGCGCCAACTCACAAATAGAAGTAGTCATCACCCCCAAAAAAATACCAGATTGTGGCAAACGTGCATGACCAAAAGCCCAAATACGCAGCATGGTGAAAAAACATGAAAAAACCATAAAACGATTGGCCGGTTCTTGCCATTCACACACACTGATTGCACAATACGAAAATGAAGTGACATGGGAAACAGACCCTGAACAACAAATAATCACAACTGTGCAGGTACGTCACTGGACGTCTCCAGTGATATCCTCAGGACACTGCAGAGAGCTTTGTTAAGTGGTGCTCTGCAGGCCTGCTCCATTCCCCTGCAACAAACAAAGTACAAGTTTTACATCTATTGAGATGTTTCACACACACACATATATATATATATACACACACACAACAACTCTGCAGAGCTTCTCAAAATAGCTAAGGACGGCTTGGAACGGCTCAAAAGCACGGCTCTTTTGAGCACTCAGAACATGAACAATTCAGAAACATTCAGAAACACCAAATCCAAGAGATTCCAACAGAGTCAAGCCATGTCCATGTCCTGACTCCAGCCGTTGAGGGCGTTCACTGCTTCGCTGAGGAAAACCTCTGGCACATGTTTGGCATGAGCACCTGAGCACACGGCCGCACAAAAGGTAGACAAGTGTCATGATGTTCCTTTTCAAAGGACGACAGGACTAGATTCTACTAGATTCTACTAGATTCTACTAGATTCTACTAGATTCTACTAGTTGCCCTTGCCCTAGCAGTTTCATGTCGTTTCTAAAGATTGTGATCTGAGCAGGAGGAGCCCAGCAACGCCTTCGACTAAAAATAAGCATGTGCGCCAAGTGCCGCAGATTGAAGTGGACACATTACATGCTGACATTAGGGGCGAATACTCTGACGTAGATGCGCCAAGCAGCTTGGTTGTGATCCTTGAGGCCCTTTCAAGTATGTATGAATGTCGCAATCTGTTCTCATCTTACGCACGACTGGAAACTGTTGCCATAAAAGACTCTTCGGTGTCTGTTTTTAGCAAGTGTCGGCACGACTGCGCGCCAAAATGGGCGAATGAGATGACTTGGAGGGCAGCTAGAGCAAGACTAGTAGAGAAGTTGAAAGCTTCAAAGGATAGTGTTGGCACTGGACCCGTCGTTTGGATTTGCCATTCAAGAATTTCTCGCACAACAAGAGTACATGTTTCAATCATATCTTCGAATTCGGAACTCGCAAAAGTTTTGAAAGCCCTTTTTGTCTGTCATGTCTGTCATGTCTGTCATTGCCGCTAGCGGCAAGATTCTTTGTGTCGAGCGGCCAATAGTGATGAGCTTGCTGCGCAAGGTGTCATCGTTCTCACCAAGGATCTGAAGATCATTTCACTCACATCGTCTCATGTCCATTCATGTCCCATTTCTCTGCTTAAATTGAGAAATACTAAGGCCATCTAAAGCCCATGCGCTGCACTACGAGAATATGTGACTACATATGACTACATGTGACTACTATATACTTAGTAGTTACTACTATGTGTTTTATCGCACGCCAACGGCACGACAGTCGTAACAATCGCAGCGACAATCGCAGCGACAATCGCAGCGCCCGCCTTGGTGAATTCGATGCCCTCATCCACCAACTCCTGGGCATCTGCCCAACGTCCGAGCTTCACGTTCAACAGCGCAGCATTGTGACATGCCAAAGATAAATAGTAGGCCTAGCACGCAGCGAACAGCGAACCACTCAGAAACCAGGTGATGGCAACAGAGAGAAGGCTTGGAGATAGAAGCTGCTCACAAAACAACAGAATGCGAGTCATCAAATCGATTCAGAAAATTTCAGAAAGATGGCAAACCAAGAAAACCCAGTTAGTTCACTCGCGGGACAAAAATTCCAGTCTTGAATAGATGGCTTTTTAAGATAAAATTCAAGTGATGCCAAGAGATTCGATCGTTGCTGGCAATCTGAGATTGATGTGAAGATAATGGTACCATATGGATCCATATGGTACCCAAAGTCTGCGGAGCTGAAGAAAAGCACTGGGAAGACACTTACAACACTTTTGTTACTTTCGTTGACACCTTCCTGGGAAAACAACGAAAAACGTGGAAAAACAATATAAAGATAAAAGCTGAATAAGGCACCCGAACCAATCGGTTACATCAGCTACCGGGTTTGCAGCTTTCACCGGTTTGCAGAGGTTGCAACCGGAAGTGCCTGGACCATCTCCGGAAGCTCCAGGGTCGAAAAGAGATTGTACAACATGGCCAATGCCTTCGGCACGGAATGGCACATGGATGACGTGTCCGGAAAGCCTGAGACGAGTCAGAGACGCCTTGAGCAAATCCTGATGGAGAAAACGTATGAAACCGTGCTATAACTCAGGGTATTCACTTTCCTCAAACCTCCAACTGAATTTCATTCACCATGCCAACTACTCGGCAACATGGTTGCACCCGCTTCCCCAGCTGAAATGGTTTCAAGATTTTCAAGTGAGTTGTCAGAGTCTTCTCACCCAGCCTCTAGGCCCCAACGTAGACCGTGCTCGTCGTGGTCAATATCACCCAAAACTGCCGACAAATTCAACAGTGTCAAGGCCTCAGAACTCAACAATACGAAACAAAAGCATAAGAGTCACGTTCCGTGGGATTGTTGAAATGATCTTGGAATTGCAGAAACATAACTAATGTCATCTCAAGCTGTTGCAGCCAGTCCTTTTATCTAACTCTACCTAGAGACGTGATCCGGAGAGAGGTCTGCAGAGTTGGTTTCGACCAGCGAAACCCGAAACCCGAAACCCGAAACCGACTGTTAAAGTTGGTTTCGAACTGCGAAACCCGAAACCCGAAACCCGAAACCGACTCTGAAGACTTAACTTCCCCAGATCGAAACCCGAAACCCGAAACCCGAAACCGAAACCCGAAACCGACTCTGAAGACTTACCTTCCCCAGGACCGATCGAAACCCGAAACCCGAAACCGACTCTGAAGACTTACCTTCCCCAGGACCGATCGAAACCCGAAACCCGAAACCCGAAACCGACTCTGAAGACTTAACTTCCCCAGGGCCGATCGAAACCCGAAACCCGAAACCCGAAACCGACTCTGAAAGTTACCTTTCGAACTGCGAAACCCGAAACCCGAAACCCGAAACCGACAAAAGTGGGTTTCAATCGACGAAACCCGAAACCCGAAACCCGAAACCCGAAACCGACAGCGAAAGTTGGTTTCAAGCGACGAAACCCGAAACCCGAAACCCGAAACCGACAGCGAAAGTTGGTTTCAATCGACGAAACCCGAAACCCGAAACCCAAAACCGACTCGAATCCGACTTTTGGGTGGCTCTCCGGATCGGAACTCCTTGCCTATACAATACAGCAGCTTCAAAACGGACTAAACTGCCACACACACACACACAATGCTGGAGACACATCTTTGCATGTCAGATTTCCGGCATTTCATGGCATGCCAGTCTTCACTTTCCTATCAACAGGTCTGCTCACCAAAACGGACTGCTCAAGCTCCCTTTTGTGCTACAAGGACTCACAAGTTTGGTAGAATGCAAACAGCGTATCGTAGTCTATACAAAGATATACAAAAATATACAAAGTATATCTCCATATGGAATCCATGTGGAACCCATAAGACCTTCCGATTTTTTTCAAATCCCAAGGGACGATCAGCAGCGGATGCTGTTGAATACTATCACCACCCGCCAGGCACAGACTCTTGGCCTTGAACAGCGTGGCTCTCAGGGAAGGGCAGCATGGTTGTCGGCTTGTTGAATTGTTTGTGTTGGCTGGGACTAGTGAATTTGCTATTCTGTACAAAAGAAACCCCTGCAAATGTTTAAAAAAAACACAGATGGACGTAGTGAGCAAGTCCAGTTCAATATGGCAAAGCTTGACAAATCTAATGAATCTATACTTCTCAAAAGACTGAGACTAGCTGAGACTAGCAATTTCTTCACGTCTCCACCGCCTCTGCCAAGGCATCGATGGCCTTTTGGAAGAATTTCACCCGTCGGGCGGCGCAGGCCAAATTCGAGAGAGCGATAATCCTGACGAAGTGATTCAGCAGACTGGCCGAACTTGTTGGAATACCAGGAATTTTGATGAACTTTGTAAAGCTATATTCGCCGACCCCGGCCAAGCAAGGGGGAGCGCACCAGGGAAGAAGAGTTTGGTTTTTGCAGCCTTTTGGGTCTTTCTTGTACTTGTATGTATAGCTTCGTCAATGGATCATCAGCCTTTGGGTGGCTTGGAAGGCTTGAGTTGAAGCAGATGTCTGGCACATGTTTGGCTACTGTTCTAGAAGATTTCAGAGCATGTCTGGCACATGTCTAGCTGGATTTCAGAAGCACATGTCTGGCTACTATTCTATTGGATTTCAGGGGACACGTTGGGCACTTTTTCGGTGTGATTTGGTGGCTTCTCTGCCCTTCACTGCCATTGTGTTTCAGGCTGGCGAATCCAGCATTTGGGCGGCCCAGAAGGTGCCAGTTGAAGCACATGTCTGGCACATGTCTAGCCACAAAGGGCAAAGGAGACGGAAATTAATATATATATATATATAGATAGATAGATAGATATGTATATAAGCCTCCCACCTTCTTTACTTGAGCATATAGATATTACCAGGTTGTTCCAGGGTGCTACTAAGACAAAACATTGTGAAATCTGGCTATTGTTTCCGGGGTCGGCGGCAGGGGCAGCCCTTAAGTGTGTGTGTGTATATATATATATATGATAGTTTTACGCAAAGAGAGAATTTGAAGAGATATGGTCACTGTGTGTGCGCCAAACCAAAGGAAGCTACGTTGAGCCTGCTGCAACCATGCTGGTTGAGGGGTTGTGCGATGAGCCATTAACACTGACTGAGCATGACTGAGCTGCGTCAGGATTCTGTTCTGCATGGAGCAAACGTGAACAACGCACAGGATAGGACCGAAACATAGCAAAACATTCTGAACCGATGAGTCAAAGAATATGAAGAACATGACATGAGCTTTTCCTGTGGAAAGAAATGAAACACACAATGTTCCGCATCAAACGTACTGGACTCAATGGACTCAATGGACTCAATGGACTCAATGGACTCAATGGACTCAATGGACTCAATGGACTCAATGGACTCAATGGACTCAATGTGAGATTCCTGTCAGATCTGTCAGATCTGTCAGATCTGTCAGATGTCTCAATTCTTGGGACAGGCGCCTCAGGAAGTCGAACTCAGCGTTGGGATCCGACTGCAATCTGGGCTCTGAGGATTTTGTCGCAGGCATGCACTGCCTCAGGTCCGATGTCACTAAATTCACTATATTCACTAGCAACCTCGTCAACCTATCCAAATCAATCCAAATCCACCAGATTCTACTAGTATGTCCAAATACATCCTATTTCAAGACATGACGTGACATGACCACTTGGAAAGCATTGAGACTCTTTCAGATGCGGCACTCACAAAGCTTCATCGCAATGCGCGCTTCGCGTGCATCCAGATAAGCTAAAGCCATTTTGCAGTGACCAATGACGGCCTGGATTCGCAAGCAGACTGAATTTGATTTAGAGGTCCTAATCATTCCTAATCATGTCATGATCAAAGATGCAAGGAACTCCTGGACATTTGGGGGTCTTGAATGGTCTTGAATGGTCTTGAATGGTCTTGAATGGTCTTGAATGGTCTTGAATGGTCTTGAATGGTCTTGAATGGTCTTGAATGGTCTTGAATGGTCTTGAATGGTCTTGAATGGTCTTGAATGTCATAGACACGCATGTTGAAAAGTCCGTGTCTCCGTGTGTGAAAGGTCCAACTCCTGCGTCTATGCCATCGCCTTGCGATGTGTCTTTCTGAACTCATCATCAAAGGCAACGATGCCCATTTCACAGTGTTTCAGCTTTTCAATTTGGTGTGCCATCCGGTCTGCCATGAGAGTCGGCCAGGTGCGATTGTAAATATCCTGAGTCGAATTTGTGAACTGTTTCTCTCTCGAAATTGGCCCCAAGAGATCAAGATCAACGAACCCCTTCCAACTGAACAAATTCCTGGGGTTTCCTTCTGCACAGCCGTGCACACCAGACAATGGATTGAACGGTTACTCAGCTTTACTCGGCTCTACAGAACGAGATTCGGTCTGAAAATAGAGCTTGTTGGTGTAACGTTCATCTCCAAGCTCCACTGGAGAGAAATACCTTTGCTGCATCAAGGCTCACTGCCACTGACACACAAAACAGCGTCGAAACTTGCATGGCAGCACTCCTATTACTTGAAAGGCCCATGAGGCATCGAGAAACAGCTTATCTGGTCTTCAACTGCTTGCTTTCATTGCATAGGCATTGATTGGCATTGATCACACTGAGAATGTAGAAAGATCTTTACAGCACGATGCAACACTAAGACACCCAGGAGAAAAGATCTTGTCACCGGCACAATGTCCAAACTTCTACGGACAGTGTACTGTCCAGCAGTACATTCTGTGTAAACAAATCAAAAACACTCACTGTCAGACTCTGAGTTTCTTTCAAATGAATTGTTCAACATGCAACAATAAAGCTACGAGTGTTTAGCTTCCTCGTCTTAAACACCTTCCCAGGTAATCATTTCCCCCTTTCTGTTTCAGGTGCATGATCTCATAGAGAAGAGGATCCTCGACGCCATCCCTGGGAATCTTCATCTCTACCCGCGCTCTTCACGGGCAGATTTCCTATTTCTATTCCTTGCCTGTAAATGCACCGAGCGGTGAGCAACTCATTGCAGCTGACATGCCAAACTGATATTATCCATGCCTTCAAAAGACTTGACGAACCATACTGGACACGTCCAAGGCTGGTTTCTACCGATCAAACCGAGATGCTGGCAGAAGAAGGCCAGTACAGTCACAAAGCTGTTGAGGGACACAGAAAGAGACAGCACGAGCTGAGAAAGAGACTGCACGAGCTGAGAAAGAGACAGCACGAGCTGCCCCGCCGTGACTACTCGAACAATGTTAAACATTGTCCTATATTATCTTTATTTTTTGCTACTTTCTTCTTTTGTCTGTTCTCATTGCCATCCAAGCCCTATCTCTGGACCCGTCGATGATAAGTTTATTTTCCGCTGGGATATATCAGTGAAGAGAAAAAACACCATGTCCATCTTCAACTTCCATTCAAAGGGGTGTTTGATATTCCTAGGGAAGATCCGCCCCAGTTTGATTATGTTTCATTGGCGCCCGCTTCAGCCGTCACGCGTCACGTTTTGTGCTCTCATTGCTCTCTTGGATTGTCTGTGATACAAAGCTGCTGAGCTCTGCTACCGAGGGATGTTCGAACCTCAGCTCCGGGTGCACACATCATCATCAGTGCAGCCTCATGAGATGTTTTTTTTACGTTCAAAGCGCTTCAATTACTTCTGTCAATGTTCGTCCCTTCACGTCCCTTCACGCCCTTCACGCCCCTTCACGCCCCTTCATGTGCACAGCTATTCGTAGCCTGATGACCTTGTCCTCATTTTGTCGCCAGGCAGAAAAGTCCTCTGGTCTGAGGATGTCTAAGTATCTCATATGAAATTGAAGTATGCAGCACAGGTCGTCCAGGAGAGTCTGTGTGTAGTGCGTTTTGCGTTCAGTCTGTTCAAATCTGTTCAATATATTCAATATATATTCAGTATCGTTCAGTGCCTCAGCACTGAGTCTTCCACAGCAACGTGGCCGGTAGCTTCACCCCGAAGCTGCTCTGCAGCTGATTGCGCAGCTGGGCTGCTGCCAAGCTATCCAAGCCCATCCTCAGAGCTACACGAGGTACGGAAGGGCACCAGGGGACACCAGGGGACACCAGGGGACACCAGGGGACACCAGGGGACACCAGGGGACAGCAGGGGACAGCAGGGCAAGGGAAGGGCAACGGGAGGGCACAATCAAAATCCGGCACCGAGCACCCAGCTCCGTAAGTGGCGTATCAACCTGAGGAGTTTCCTCTAAAGCTGTTCGAACTGCTCCAGAAATTACCTGCCAAGTGGATCTTCAATGATCTTCATTCCAATCTCTAGGTGTCTTTGGTTTCTGGCTGCAATACAATGAGAGGAAAACCAAGTAGCACCGGTTGCATCTGTTGCTGCGTTCTATGACACAGTTCTCCCGCCTTAGACACCTCCTCTAGTGGAATGGTGCTCGTGGTGCTCGCTGTCGTTGCTGTCGGTGCTGTCGGTGCCGCCGCGGCCACACTTGCTACGGGAGTCGCCGGAGCCGGAGGAACGCTGGGAGCCTGTCTGCAGTGTCTGCAGACTGGAAAATCTGGAAACAGCGATGTCGCGACTGGAAACTGGAAACGGACTGGAAAAAGAAACAGACAGAAGACACTTCTAGACACTTCTAAACTTCTAAACACTTCGTTCAGGTTTTGTCGAGATCAGCAGCTTGGTGCATCAAAGATATCACAAAGGCTCTTGGCTCCACGCCTGAGAGGAGATGAACTCTGCCATTTCCTCACAGGGGAATCTCAAGTACCTCAAACCACCTGCTGAATCCAAACCAATTCAACCTGCTCAACCTATTGCATGTCAGATGTGAATCCAGATTTGCAGACATGTCAGACAGTTTGTTGGCATGTCGTCTGCAGGGCAAGTTTCCACACAAGATTTGCAACGTGTGAATGGCGCTTAATGACTGCTTCATACATCCCAAGGAATGGCTTTTTGACTTGCATTCCGCTTGGACGAGTCTTCAAACTTTCATAAAATCTTTCGGTTCTCTTGCCCCGGCACACCTGCATGGTTGGGTAGTCAAACATCATTGTACCTTCCGCGTGCAACTACAGTAATTGATAGTAACTGAGAGTAACTGACAGCAACTGACAGCAACTGACAGCAACTGACAGGAACAACATGCTACAAACAGATGCCATATGATGACATGTGATGACATGCTGTCTAACTGCTGTCTCACATCCGTGATGGTTCCAAGACGACTCAAGACAGTTCAAGTTACTTCAAGTTACTTCAAGTTACTTCAAGTTACTTCAAGTTACTTCAAGTTACTTCAAGTTACAAGTTACTATCTATATCTATCTATGTCGTTAGATTTCAAGAGGTGCAAAGTGCTGTGGAGCACTGGGCAGGGCTAGAGACGTCTGCCGCTGCAACGTGTTGCGCAGTTGCACCGCCGCCAAGCTGTCAAGGCCTCTGGCCAGAGTTCGGCGCATCGAATTCAATGGACGTATACTAGACATACAACATGGCATACAACATATCTTGAACGAATATGATAGTTCGAATGTCATCAGATGTCATATCTTGTATGTCATCAAAGTATCAAATGTCATCAAATGACATACTATAATGACATACAATGACATTCAAATTGCTTAAATTCAAATATTTTGACGACATCTGATGACATCCTATGACATCGTTCAAGGTCATGGAGAATTCCAGATCATAAAGAATGTAAAAGTATACCAAAGGTTGCCAATATGGTCTACAGATGTCTACAGTGGTATACCAATATGGTCTACTTTGGATTTCTTTGGTGGGACATCAGGCTGAGCGAAAACCAATGGGATTCCACTGGGATTCCACTGGGGCCGATGCCGGACTCCGCCAAGGGCACATCCATGGCCGGAGCTTCCTGGACCAATTTCTCGATTCACACATTGGGCTACCGTGAACACGTACCGCATGGAGAAATTCAGTGAAATATGTCCACATGGGATGTGACTATGGACGTTGATATAATGCAAACAGACACCACAGCCAGTGTGATGACATGAGGTAAGAGGCGGTCTTGAATCTTCTTTTTCACATAATATGTAAAATGGAAAACATACATCATACTCTTATATTCGTTTTTGCAAAGTTCAAATTCTGACAAATTTTGATCTGAATTCGGTGTTGACAACTAAGGCAACTAAGGGATGCCCTCCTGCTCCACAACTGCAGCAACGACTTTGCGAAGCAGCTGCCTGGCAAATGATTCCACATTGGATTCCACATTGGATTCCAGATGATTTAACACGATGGCAGATCTGTCTACAAGGATGTGGTTTGTCAGTTTGCTGATCTAGTTCAGTTTTCTGCACTGCCAAGAAAATGTTGTGAAATGCTGCCAAGACAGTGGATTTTCTAAATCCTCGCTTCACCCCACCCATCCAAGCATCCCCAGTCCCCGGACTCCACTCTGCCTGGCTTCCGACACTGGTAGTTTTGACGCAGAGATGGGTCCAATTGCCACGGACCCCGCGGCGGTCACAGCTGGCTGGTTCGCTCTGAAGTTGGATCTCGGCGCCTCTGCACCCAAGATTTCAAGCCATTTCGGCCCATTTCGGCCCATGTCAGGTCGTTTGGGAATCGCTTTGAATTTCATGCAGCTTCAAACGTCCTTCTTTCCTCCTCTGCTCCCCAGCTCACAGTCGAAAGAAGAGTTGAAAAGATCAAAAAGAGTTGCATAAAATAAGCCAAAAACCAATTTCCTGCCTTTGATGGTAGGGGCTGAGCCTCGGCGTGGCACATGCAGACACCAAAAATCCTGTGTCATGCGCTCCACAAAGCAAGTGTGTGCGTGTGTAACGTGAGCAAGTGTGAGTGTGTGTGTGCGTGTGTGTGTGTGTGCGTGTGCGTGTGGGTGTGGGTGTGGGTATCTGTGTCTCTGTGTCTCTGTGTCTCTGTGTGTGTGTGTGTGTCAAGCTCGTCTGGCTGACTCAGACCAACTCAAACCGACTCAGCCCAGACACAAAACACAGGACACAACACAGTGCCAACACATGACTTATATCCTACACCAATGACTACACCCAACAACACCATCGACTCCACGGACTTCGATGCCACAACGGCGTTCTACGCACGCAATGCTGTCCTGTTGATGCATTTCAGTTTCTCTAAATTCTGGTTCCCCTAACAGCTTCCTATGGCTAGTGAATGGCACCATTTCAATCACTATCAATGTGACTTTCAACTTCTTTTGACACTTGAAATAAAATAATATACTGTAAGCATGTATCACAGTATATATACGAGTAGTACCCAGGCAAGCCGGGGGCGGAAGTTTCAAATTTGAAACGCTTATAGCCTACAGAGCGGAGCAAAGGCTGTGCCTATAGGTGACAGGCAAGCCTCCTGCGCTTCGTGGCAACAGGCTCTTGACTGATCAATCTGATGCCATGTATTTCGAATGTTGAATCCTTTCTCATTTCATCTGATCTCATCGCATCGCAGCTTCTCTTGGAAATTGCTCATTGCATCCCTCTGTCACCACAGTCTGTGTCATCCCATCTCATCTCAACTCATCTCATGTCTCCTGAGTTTTTTCACCTCATCTCATCTCATCTCATCCCATCTGATGTATTCTCTCCCCTTCTCAGCTCTTCTCAGCTGATCACAACTGTTCTCATCTCTCCTCATGTCACCTGAGCTTTTCTCATCTCTTCTCATCTCATCTCAGCTTTTCAAATTTTCACAGCTCTTCTCAACTCTTCTCAGCTCTCCGCAGCTCATGTAAGCTCATCTTATGTGTTCTCATCTCTTTTCTCCTCTTCTCACATCGTCTGAGCTCTTCTCACATCTACTCAACTGATCTCAGCTCTTGTCAGCTTGTCTCACCTCATCTCAGCTCTTCTCAGCGCACTCTCAAATCATCTCACGTTTTCTCTGGCCCAAAATCTGCTCCAAAAACGGATCTTGGCGCCAAAGCAAGCAACCCCGACGCTTTCCACAGAGAAGATTTGACACAGAGAACCTTTTACACACAGAAGCTTTTACACAGAGAAGCCTTTACACAGAGAAGCTTCTACACACAGCAAGCTTTGACACAAAGAAGCTCCTACACAGAAAAGCTTTTACACAGAGAAGCTTTTACACATCGAAGCATTTACACAGCTTTACACACAGCGAGCCTTTACGCAGAGAAGCGTTTACACACAGAAAGCTTTACACAGCGAAGCTTTTACACACAGCAAGCTTTCACACAGAGAGCTTTTACAGAGAAGCTTTTACACACAGCAAACTTTTACACACAGAAGCTTTTACACAGCAAGCTTTTACACAGAGAAGCTTTTACACACAGCAAACTTTTACAGAGAGAAGCTTTTACACAGAGAAGCTTTGCACACAGACGCTTTTACACACAGCAAACTTTTACGCAGAGAAGCTTTTAAACAGAGAAGCTTTTGCACACAGAAGCTTTTACACACCGCAAGCTTTCACACAGAGAAGCCCTTTCACAGAGAAGCTTTTACACACAGAGGCTTTTACACAGAGAAGCTTTTACACAGCAAACTTTCACACACCGCCAGCTTTTTCACAGAAAAGCTTTTGCATACAGCAAGCTTTTGCACAGAGAAGCCCTGACACAGAGAAGCATTTACACAGGGGAGCTCTTACAGAAGCCTTTACACACAGAAGCTTTCACACAAAGCCAGCCTTTACACAGCAAGCTTTTACACAGAGAAGCCCTTTCACAGAGAAGCATTTACACAGAGAAGCTTTTACACACAGCAAACTTTTACACACAGAAGCTTCTACACACAGCCAGCTTTCACACTGTCACAGAGAAGCTTTTTCACAGAGAAGCATTTACACTGAGAAGCTTTTACAAGGAGAAGATTTTACACACAGCAAGCTTTTAAACTGAGAAAATCTGCTGACAAATCACTATCGCAGCCTCTTTGCAGCCAGTCCAATACGATTTACGATGTCCAGCTGCAAAAGACAATAGGATTACGCACGCAGCCGCGGCGCCAAGCAACTTTCACCCAGTATACAATGCTATCTGCAGAGACTGAGCACAATAGAAGTACGTGCAACGTCAGAAATTGCAGCTCAAAAACCGGATCTCGCTCGACGCCAAAGCAAAAAAAACGATTTAGAAGCACTGCTTAAAAGGAATTTAAAAGGGAAATCACTAACGCCAAAAAAGAGAAATTCTGCTGACAAATCACTATCGCAGCCTTGATACAGCCATTCCAATACGCAGCCATTCCAATACTTGCACAACACAATAGGAAAAATGCATTTCGTGCGAGACTTCCTTTAAAAAGTGAAACTTCAAGATGTAAAACGAAGCTTTCATGAAAAATTTCCCTCAAAGAGTGTAAGTGGAAGATGTGAAAACGAATCTGTCGTGCGAGACTTCCTTCAAATCTGCAAGTCGAAGATTTGAAAACGAAGCTTTCGTGCGAGACATCCTTCTAAAAGTTAAAGTGGAAGATGTGAAAACGAAGCTTTCGTGCAAGACGTCCTTCCAAATCTGAAAGTTGAAGGTATGAAAACGAAGCTTTCTTTCGTGCCAGACGTCCCTCAAAAGGTGAAAATGGAAGATGTGAAAACGAAGCTTTCGTGCGAGACCTCCCTCAAATCTGCAAGGCGAAGATTTGAAAACGAAGCTTTCGTGAAAAACTTCCCTCAAAAAGTGTAAGTGGAAGATGTGAAAACAAAGCTTTCGTGCGAGACTTCCTTCAAAATCTGAAAGCCGAAGGTGTGAAAACGAAGCTTTTGTGCGAGACTTCGTCCAAAAAGTGAAAGTTCAAGATGTGAGAACAAAGCTTTCGCACGAGATTTTCGCCAAAAGTGCAAGTGAAAGTCCAAGATGTGAAAACGAAGCTTTCGCGCGAGATCTCCTTATAAGTCCTGTGAGATCTCTTGGCTGTTAGATCTCTGGGCTGTGAGATATGACATCCATTGCACATCCTTTGCCATCCGTAACACGGAAGTTAGACCTTCAAACTTCCTTTCATAAGAACTTCTTTCAGTAACTCTTTCGCTTTGTGCTGTTCTCTTGCTTCGCGCCGGCGCCTCAAGGACTACGTGGGCGTTGACGCCGCCGAAGCCAAAAGAGGAACCGCACGCCTTGGGCGCTCCAAAGGCTCCAGCCTCGAGGGAACCATTGTGCCTCAGCAACAGCGACGACAGCGGCGACACAGCATCGGGACCGTGAAAAGGTGGAAACATTGTCAAATTGCCGCAGCCCCACATAGGCTTCACATAGGCTGAAATCTTCTGAGCAATGCAATCCGATTTTCAAGTGACACATAGTGACGCATAGTGACGCATAGTGACACATAGTGACACAATGCAATGGGATGTGAAGAGGTGTGACAAGATGCAACAAGACCCGAATGGGAGCCACAGGAAAGGGCAAGTTATGCAAGTTGCAAGCTGCAATCTGATCGCAAGGAATCTATTAGGCTTTATTTATCCTTTCCATGTTTTTACCAATATTTTTTACCTGCCCTTAATAAACTTAAGATCTCTTATGACCTATTCCTGAGCCAAGTAGATCCTTGCTATCTAGAAATCAGAGCACACACGACAGTCTGATCATCTGATTTTTGACGGATCAAAACCCCACCTGAACTATGGATGGATGGTTTGGTGGTGGAATAGGCTATCGTATTTACTTTCAACATCTTTCAACCTGGGATTTGGAAGGACTGCTCCATAGCTCGTCGCTTACAAAATGCGCACCTCTGTAAGATATTTATGTACACATGATCTTGCATGATATGTTCAAATTTGTTGCATAGGTGCATACGTGTGCTGCAGGGAGTCTACCCGTATGTGCTGTTCAAAGCTGATCCTCTCGAACTTGTTGAATGCAACATCAGTTCTTTCTCTTTGCCTTACAGCCTCTGTATCCCACAGCTGGGTGTCGGAACAGAGCAAAAGACTCCCCACAAAATAGCATAGGCCTCGCATCAGAACAGTGGGGTGCATTTACTCTGCAAGAAGTCCAGATGTTTAAAAACTTAAAATGACTCTTCGAAAACTGAAGCGAGCTTGAAAGGAGCATCAACGAAACCACATTCCACAGCCCTTTGCAGTTCATGTCTGACTCAAGGTCCCGTTCAATCCAGTTTGATCCAATCCGATCCCGTCAACGTCTCTGGGGCCAACTGCACACGCCCAGCATCGATGTGAGGATTGAGGCCTTGAGCTTTGCCGTACGAAAAGAGTGTTATGACTGTTATGAGTAAGTGTTGAGTGCGTGAGGAGTCTGTGATGAATATTAAAAGATGTTAAAAGAAGAAAGCGAAAAAGTTTGAAGAGTGTGTTTTCCCCACCTGCCAGGTGAAGGTCGCTAGATTTTAACAAAGGTGTGCCTCGCTCCTTCACTCCTTCCCTCACTCCTTCCCTCTGTTCCTCCTCATCTCCTCTTCTCTACTTCTCTGCCAGCTCGTCGCCGAGCACGCCTGGACCCGAACACATGCCAGAAAGTATGTAAGATAGAATGTCAGAATATAAAATAATGTATATATATATTATATGTGTATTTATATATATATACGTATGCCATATATACTTCCAGATAATATGTCAGAAACATCAGAAACTATGTAAGAGTAATGTGTCAGGCTGGGGATCACCCCAAGTAAGGTAAGTGGACTTCAAATCGACTTCAAAAGTGTGTGGCTGGAATTATCCTCGATTATCCCAGGAAAAAAAAATATGGTTTCCCCATCTTATGGCCTATCATTTGCTCATTGTAAGCTCGAGCCCTGTGTGAAGTGTGCTGCCAAAGGTATTTCGTTTCACGGCGTGTTTCGAAGGTGCACAGCATGGATGATCCTCGTCTGAGAGCCCTGCGATTGAAATGAATTTGGGGTGGAACGTGCTGGTCCTGGTGACGACTCGCATTTTCACGTCTTCCCCAAACCTACATAGACCTACTGAGATGAAGAGCATCTTGGATCACTTTCAATTTGGGCCATGCGCGTATGGATAACGACCTCAGCTTCATCAATTTGTTTTCAAACCTGTCAGAAACTGCATCTATTTGTCCAAGAGTCCGCACTTTTTCCTCCAAGTCTGGTGCATCGTGGTTAATCGGACCGTTGCCGGGCGAACCAAGAAAATTCTGCACTGCACCGGCCCAAAATCATTCGACATGTCTCTGCAGTTTGGCTCGGCGGCCGAGCTCGGTCTAGTCTAAGCGGTTGCTGCTCTATCACTTTCGCGCCAGGCAAAATCTCCAAAATGGAAAGCGCAGGCAATATCTGGCAATGAACGGCAACGACAACGAGCGCCAACGTCACTTCGGCGCGGGCTTCACTGGAGAGCCCCCCCCTGTGAGAGCTCGCGCTGCTGATCTTCTGGCCGTGAACTTGAAAGGCCGAGCTTAACATGCCACGCAAAACATTGCTAAGCCTTGCTGAAGCTGCATCTTTTGTCTCCGATGTTTTTAGATGTTTTTCGCAGTTTCAACTTATCAACTTACAACAACTTACAACACTCGAGCGCTCACATCTTCTTGAGTTCCAGAGGACCGCTGTCGGAGGATTTTTCTTGGTCCTCAGAACTCTAACAATCGTGCATGCCATTCCGGCACAAATTCGAGCTTGACAACATGTTTGGCTGAGCTCTTAAATTTCCTGAAGCAATGTAGATGTTGGCCCTGACCGAGGAACTTTGCGGTGTGTCGGATTTTGTGTGTGTGTGCGTTCTTAGTTTCAACTCTCCTAAGCCATAAGCCTCTAAACCACAGCAGCCAGGACAAAATTCATCTTCAGGAAGCTTTGCCGTGCAAGAGCTGAACTGGCCCAACACTCAAATCCAAGCCACGTACCTCGTCGCTTTGGATGCACCCTTTCTGCTTGCCGGAACACTCTCATATTCTCAGCTCTTACCACACCGGCCACTTGCACTTTAGACCAAGAAAGAAAGAATTGACTCAGTCTCCAGGTCCCTGGATTTCCGCTTGAACAAGTGGCAAGTTGCAACTGCGACCGATATGGAAAACGTCAGGCAGGGCACGGGTCCAAACCATTCGGCCTTTGTGGCCATTCGCATCCTCCAAGACGCCCATTGTCACCAAAACAGCCACAAAGAATGAAGGAAATTGCAAACAAATAGATGAGAAGTGATGAGAAATGCCACACGGCAAAAAAAAAAAACAGCAAATCAAACCTGTCTTACTAGAGCCTAATACCACCTCTTACCGCCTCTTGCCCGTCTTCGGATGGCTTGTCTTGGCAATTCAATGAAGCATGCTTTTGGAGTGGCAGGCAATCGACATAATTCCGTATTGAGGAGGTGACTTTGTCTACGGGGTCCACTTTAGGGGCAAGAGAACCCTTTCAAACCCACACAGGTGTGGATGCAGGCCAACACTTTAGCACTACCAGCTTGGAAAATGGACAGGTAATCTGATCTGAACTGCCTGACACACAAAGGACTGCTAGCAGTTTATGGTCAACAGTTTTCCACAATTTCTACACGTGCTTGGTGTTGGCATGCCTTTGTCTCGGGGTTCCGGTCTGTGAAGAACAATGAGTTGTCCATAGTTTCCTGCATTGACAAAACCTGCTACCTATCCCATACTATATCACGTTTTCAATGCCAAACCAAATGTGATCCAACCAAACAAAATTTGGACGAGTCGATGATGATCGAATCGACTGGAAGATAATATCAAAATACAAGCTGGCCCCGAGCTCTTTGGCAAAGTCGCACTCACCGCTGGCACTCTTTGAACAGCAGATAGCAATACTGGTAGTAGCATACTAAAGACATCAAAAGCTAAGGGCGGATGTTGAGGGACTTGTATTGGCAATATTCAGAACACCGGAACGGTTGGCGAACGTGAAAACACAATGACATCAATGGCATACAGATTCATACAGATTCTTGATTTTCTAGCGGGGGCGACTGCAGCTCGGACTTTCAAACAGCCATGAAAATGAAAGTAAGAACCAGTTTGCACAGTTTTTTGTGACTCACGTGAGTCAAGTGCACATGTTCCGTCCAATGCTGATTTGTGAGCACAACAAGAACCCTCAAAACAATCAAGGTTACTCCACACGGATCAAGTCGACAATGAACAAGCATTAACGCAACATTACTCCTTGAATAATTGCAGAATAATCATGGTCGGTTGGTGACGGAAAAGGCATGTTTAAGCCTGTGAAACTTGGTCAATTGAGCAACAGCGGGGCCTTGACAGGCAAGGCCAGGCATATCATGGCATCAACCCTGACTGTGCAAATCAGGATTTGGATGAGATTGGGTGGAACCAGCTGCTGATATATTTTGCCAAGATATGCACATCATAGGGGTATAGATTTATATTTTATGTGTATATAACATTATCAAAGTACGTTTCACTTTGTTATGTTAAGTTGCATCAACTGAATCATAATGTATTATATGAATTTTATGTTAGTTATATGTGTTTTATAGTGATAATTGGGGTGATATAACGAATATTAATCATGTAAAGCGGTAACCTACAGTGCAACGGGTCAGCATTGACATCTCAGGTCGGACCCCTGAATTTGGGAACTGCTCGCAGAAAACCCTTGGAGTTCATCCAGATGCTTGGCAGACAAAGGAAATTCATTGGCATAATATAGGGATGGGTCGAAACCTATTTCACCGGAAAAAACGTGGGCGGCGCAAAAAAAAGAAACGACGGTAGATGGCGCGGCCTGACTGTAAATTCGTTCTTTTTGCTAGATGGGCACGGCCCCGGATATCATTGCTATTTTTGGTAAATAGCGGTTGCTTTCATATTCATGTGGTTTTCTGTGATTTTCCCAACTCTTGTTCCACAAACTTTACACGAGGGCTACTGCAGGTGGACCTGTCACCCCAAATTCAATGCAGCCATATTCAAAGCCCTGTGGGGCCTCTTGCTCATTAGGCATATTTAACGCAAGATCACACGCACACACTTGAACATTCAGCAGAATATTTTGCCCTCAACCATTTCTAGTTACAACTGCTGAAGTTCGGATTTGCTCCATCCAAGGCGCGCTTGGCAAGTTACTTAGAAAGCCAAAGACCAATAATTCAAAAGCGCAGTCACTGTATTCAAGTCTTGCTTCAACGATCTGATTCAGACTGCGGCAACTGTGCAGCACCTGGGACCTAAAACAACCTGAGGAGAACAGCCTGGACAACAGTTTTACAATGCAGGTACAGGTGAATGATCAGTTCACCCTTCTCCCATCATACCATAGCTTCCATCATCAAAGGAAGTTTCATGGAGGAAACTCCGAGTTACGGACTTTCACATTCTCACTAGCCCAACGATCATTGTATCCAGTTGGCACCTGCGTTAAGAGATCATGAAGTCACATTCTCACTAGCCCAGAGATCATTGTGTCCAGTGGGCACCTGCGTTAAGAGATCATGAAGTCACATTCTCACTAGCCCAGAGATCATTGTGTCCAGTGGGCACCTGCATTAAGAGATCATGAAGTCACATTCTCACTAGCCCAGAGATCATTGTGTCCAGTGGGCACCTGCATTAAGAGATCATGAAGTCACATTCTCACTGGCCCAGAGATCATTGTGTCCAGTTGGCACCTGCGTTAAGAAATCATGAAGTCACATTCTCACTGGCCCAGAGGTCATTGTGTCCAGTTGGCATGTGCCTTACAAGATCATGAAATCACATTCTCACAAGCCCAAAGATCATTATGTGCAGTTGGCACGTGCCTTAAGCCAGGGATCATGATGTCACATTCTCACTAGCCCAGAGGCACTTGCGTTAAGAGATCACTAGGGGTAGAGGTAGAGTAGAACTTAGGCAGAGCAAAGATTATAGTAGAGAAGACTAGTCTAGTAGACAAGACTAGAGCATAGCAGAGTAGCGTAGAGAAGAGCAGGGCAGAGTAGAGCAGAGTCTAGCAGAGTAGAGTAGAGCAGAAGTAGAAATAGAGCAGCGTAAAGCTCCGTAGAGAAGACTAGAGAGGAGAAGAGTAGAGTAGAGAAGAGTAGGGTATATGTTCTTCAGTATTGTCTTGCGATTCTGATTGTGTTTTGCAAGTCATTCTTGGCAGATGGGACTTGCACGAAACATTATCTTTTTTTCGGGTAAACGGATGTTTCACTGCGGAGAAAAGTAAACTCGCGCGCGCGACGGTCTTAGACGTCGTCGCTTTAGCGTGGAATCATTCTGGACCTGTGCGTGCAATGTAACTCAGGGTTCCAGGTGACTTTTTCTCTTCTTTGTTGATGCTGTGCTATTGTGTTTTGCATGTGTTGACACAGTTTGTGCATTGGAACTGGTGCATCAAAGCGATCTGTTCTACAGTAGTGTGTTGCAAATCTATTGTGTTGTGCAAGTCAGTCTGTGCAGATAGCAGTGGAATGGCTGCGCCAAGGCTGCTCCAGTGGCACTTGTTCTTCAGTAGAGCCTTGCCATTTTGATTGTGTTTTGCAAGTCCCTGTTGTCAATCGTACTGTAGTGGCTGCTTGAAAGTTGTGAATGTGGCTTTGGCAGCAGATTTTTTTCATGTTGGTGCTGATGATTGTCCTCTTAAAATTCCATGTAAAAAGTGTTTCAAGATCGTCCTTTTTCCGCGTGGGCGTTGAAAATCCGGTTTTGGAGCTGCAATTTATGTAGCCGCTGTGCGAAATTCTATTGTGTTTTGCAACTCGGTCTTTGCAGATCGCAGTGGAATGGCTGCGTCAAGCTATTGTGTTTTGCAGCTGTGCTCCATATGGGCAGCTCTCTGAAGGGCTGGGGCACTCATCTGTCTGAAAGTCTGGGAGTAGCCGTCAACACCTTGCCTCCCAATTGGGATGGCATTGAAGGAGATGGTGCGGCCGCTGCTTCCTGTCTGGCCTTCTCTGCAGAGTCCACGAACTGCTGCGACAGTTTGAAGCGCTTCCTGGCATCGAGGAACTTCCGCGAAGAGGCCCAAATAGGTTGCCTATCCTGGTGCAACAGGCGTTCAGCTTCGGCCAACCCATGTGCTTTGGCCTTGTTCACGTCATCTTGTGGGATCGCCCCCCGCGAGAGCTGGTCTGTCAGCGCTGAAGCAGCTCTATACTCCGCTGAGGAGTAATGGAGCACCATCTGTCCCACATCTGGCTAGTCCCCCTTGTTCTGCCAATCACTTAAGGGTTCTTCCGGCCGGCTCTCCACAAGCTCGGCCAAAGTGGGTGCCATTCTCCTCCAGGAGTATGTTGTGACCTCCTCTGGGTTGTGCAAGAGGACCGCCATCTCGTTCTGCATGGATTCCTGAACCTCCAGGACTCGTCAGAAAAACACAGGCCAGACACACGCTGCTGGCTGGGGCAAGTGTCCGGTGGGCTTCGAGGACCTCCTTCGCCCAAAAGAGCCCACCAGAGAAACAAGCTATTGTGTTTCTGTTTGCCTTTCTGGCATCGACTGTGCAGGAAGGCCGCCGTCAATCTCCTTGGCTCCGATCGAATGATGTGGGTGTAGCGCAAGCACCCGAAAGCCATCATCCAAGAGGCCAGCAGCACCGTCCAGCGTTCATCTCCGACAGAGTGGAGCTCGACAATTCTGTCCTCCAGGGCTTTGATGAGTGGAGGCTCCAGTCGCCCTGGGCGTGACCGGCACCTGCAGGTTGCTTAAGTCCATCTCCTGGCTGGCATTTTGGTTCATCCACTTCAGAGCTTGAAGGGCTCGTGCCGGCGCATTCTTCACACCCTTGGAATTGCCCTCCACCGCCCGAACTCCTGCAGCTGCCCTGGCCTGCAGCCAATCATCAGCCACATGATGGCCTGCCAGACCCACCACCTGATCGTAGTCGAGGTAGGCGTAGGCAAAGTCGTTGTCGTCCTGCAGACCCTCCGCCTTGCGTCATTGGGCAGCTCGCTGCGCTGCAATCTGACGAAGGGAGTCAGCTGCATTCCAACCTTGTGCAAGGTCACCCCCTGACGAGGAGGAAGATGCTGCCTGTGCCGCATAGTAGCCTTTCCCACCTGATGCCATGGCAGCGCACCTGATGCCATGGAGAGCGAAAAGATGCTGCGGAATTGGGGGAGACGTCACTGCCCTCGCACTATCATAAATCTACCAGCGTCTTCCGACGCACCCCACACTGCACACGGCTGTGCCTCCATGGAAAGCCCACACAGCATGCCCAGCAGACTCGTCTCGTAGGATCGCCAGATCTACGCTCTGGGAAACTGCCCCAGGCTCCCATCCCCAGCTCCCCAGCGTCGCCCGCTGCACAACGGAGTTGGAGGCCATATATGTCTTGGGGCACCAGGTCCTTGGCAGTCGTAGTACTCCTGCAGGCCGCCAGAAGAAGGAGGTCCATCTTCTCCTGATGCTCATATTAGTAGGTCCAAGCGTCCACAGGCTGCACATCGGGTGGAATGATGACGCCGCGGCTGCTCCACAGCCCCAACCAGGGAACTTGAAACAATCGCTCTTGCAGCAAGGCATCTTGACCAAAGGAGGGAACAGTTCAGATTCGCTGGTTGTAGGGATGACAAAGAGGGAGTGCCTAATCTCAAGCGCGTGCATCCAACACGTGTATGCAGCCAATTCGTGGCCCTCCCTTGCCAGCCTCTCCACATGCTGCTTGAACTCCAGGAACGCTGCTGCGTGGAGGATGTTGGCGTCAATGGCCGCAGGGATGTCGATCCCAGGGAGCTTACGCAGCATACGAGGTCACCCCTCGCGGCACACCAGGTCACCCCTCACCCCTTCCTAGACCTAGAAAGAAAAGCAATGAATGCTATTTTGGTTCAACTCCAACTTGAGCCAAAATGATAGCATTCACTAGCTCACTTAAAGATGATACATGCACACCCAAAGCCTGCCAAGCTCAATGCATGAATATCTATATATATATATACATGTGTATATATGTATATATATACATGTATATATCATTCCATTAGCCGTGCAATACCTAGGGACCCAAGGTTATCAAATTCTAATAGTCATATGGAAGTAGAACGAACAGAATGTGGATTTTATTGTGGTTTCCTACTATGTGCAGGCCCATTAAACCATCGCTTTATCAACATGTGCCATGTTTTTGCATTTATAAAGAGGATATGCCTCCCTGGGAGTGAAATCTCAAAAAAAAACAGAACCCACCGTCACCGACCCCCCCGACTTTTTTTTTAACGAGCCTTGCGAAGGTAAATTTTCTGGGAAATAACATGTGGATTCAACATGTAGAAAGCCTCCTTCCAAAAAGTCGGATTGAATATGATGCAAATATATTGAAATGATGCAATATGATCCAGTCTTAACAGGTCGGGCATAAATGAGCATACAACACCAGCGTAAATACCGACATAAATGATGTAAATGTGAGGTTGCGAAGCGCAGTCAGGTGATGACAAGTGGTTCACTTTCTGCCACCTCCGCTTTGCCTTCGCACCGTGTGAGGTCTGCCCCCTCCGAGGCAGCCTTCGGGCGAATTGACAATGACACTGGACAGCGGCGTGGCCACTCTTCGAAGCGCTGGCCGTGCTGGCCGTGGGGTGAACTATACCTGGAACATCCTGGAACTATGTGTGAAATATGTGATATATGTAGAACAAGATAGAACAAGAATGAAGAGCTATCCTCAATACTGCAGAATCCAAAATGATATGTATTCAATTCCAAAAGGACTTCAGACATGAAAATGTTTGAAGATGTTCGAAGAAATCTTCAGAGAACTTCAGAGCTTCGAAAGTTGGAGTATACATTCATTTGCACAGGCTCTATGGCCTGTGCCAGGCTTCCTAGAAATTTGGACGGCTCAGTACGGCTCGGCAGTACTGGGTGAGTAAGACTCGGTGCCAAAGTTTTTGTTCGCCTTCAGTGAAGTCACACGGTCCGAGTCCATGGTCCACAGAGTCCGGATGATTCTCGACAACTCAAAACATCTCGAAACCGCAAACTGTTGCGGAAAAATGGATGAAAATTTAAGCAAATTGCTGGTATTTCACTCATTCCACAAGCGTGAAGGCTGTGAATCTGAGGTGGACAATGCAGGATGAATAAAGATTCAGAAACAATAGATCTTGTTCATTCTGTACATTGTACATCTTTGGATCGAAACAAGGTCGACAAACCTGAACTAGAATCATAAAGAATCATGAAGCAGCAAAAAAAACGCGACTTCCGTCTCAAATACAGTTTGAATGGCATCTCAAAATATGCATGGGACAACAGTGGCAACACTGACGTGATGATCTCCCGCCTCATGACAGTGGTAAAAACACCCTTTCCATTCCTTCGTTGAAATGACTTAGAGCCAAATGCTCTGACGAGCGCTCAAACTTGTCCGCAAGCGGTTTGTGGCGGCAGAGAGCTCTTCGGCTTCTCCTGGTAGCTTAAAATAGCTTCAAGGAAGAAGCCGATCAAAGTGACAGAAAGGCATCGAGGCACAAATAATTATCGCAACATCTTATCACTTCAAGGACAGCTGCTCGTGCAAGAACAGCAATGAGGACAACGGTGACTGTGACCAGAATAAGAACGACAAACCAATCAGCGGAAATAACAACTAACAACACCCCTTGCATCGCTGCTGTGCCCGCCGCAAACTACAGGAAACATAAAATAGATTAAATCGCAAGTAGCAATCAGCAGCAATATAATAGAAGGACCAATCACGATGACCGCAAAAATGATAAAAACAAGCATGATAAGGATCACGACAAAGACTGAAGGCTATTAGTACTCATCACCACCACCACCACCACTACCGTCGCCACCACCACCACCACCGCAACCACCCCAATCACCCCAACCACCCCAACCACTGCAACCACTGCGACTGCTGGCACTATAAGTGCACACTGAGATTTCAGAGGTCGTTGGAAAATTGCAACTGCAGGAGGAATTGTGGAGACAGCCCCAGTCTACACCTGTAGCTACACTAAACTCTCTGGTGGAAGGGCCAGGATTAGTATGAAAATATGCAATGATCAAAAGTGGAGACTGGAGACAAAGTGCCTTTGGCTCAGCTGATACAAGTTGTGACTTTTTGCACAAATGACAGCTCGAGGTACGCAGTCCTTCGGTCATTGCCTGACGAATAAGGCCCAACATTCCTGAGAAGCTCATCTTCCGAAAGACCTGCACAGAGGAAACCCCTTGGGCCAGATAAGGTTGTAGTCACACGGTGTAGCTATGTGTAGCAGAGGTGGTCTGAGAGAGCACAGCTTCGTGGATGCATCAAATATATCATGATATATCATCAATCATTTTGGGGTAAGACATGGGCCAGTCGGCATATGCTGAGAAGGGAAGCTCATTGAAGCTCTTGAAAAGACCTGACCTGAAACTCTGCTCTGCAGGGAAAGTTTAAAAAATGAGATGCGGATTCAGCAGCCCCCAGAGAACAAGAGTTAAGTAGGCAAGTACTTCTGATCGCCGTGCACCAAATTTTGCTAGCTGTTACAAGGACTTCAATACCAAATCTGGTCACGTTTCAAATTCCAGGTGGCAGTGGTAGCAGCGAGGCACTGCACCCACTTGCAGCACCAGTGGCACCCGAGACACCCGTGGTGAAACTCCTACGGAAATGACCTTCCTGCAGTATTCCTGCTGGAGTTTCCAGCAGCTTTTAATTTTTGTATGGTTTTGCATGGTTTTGCATGGCAAGCCGTCCATCCAATACAGATACTACAGTATACTGCAGTTTTGAAAAGTTACCTGGGCGCCATTGAGTTAAGATCATCAAATCCTACGCTTCAGCAATGCGACAAGGCATGTCCAGTTTACCAAACGCTATCGCTGCTATCCCTTCCAAGGTGAGGCTTGATTTCTAAATCGAGCTATGTTTTGCATCCTTTGCCGCTGTAAGAATCAAGAATCTCGATGTCTTGACATGACTAATCTTGACTGACTCTGGCTCATACACATTACGTCGTAACGTCAAGAACATTCAAAGACTTCATCTTTGTCATGCTCCGCTGAAGCTCCCATGCCTTGTGAAGCTTCCGCCTCAGCTGTTAAAAGTGGAGTATTGTCACAGGTTGTCACAGGTTGCCCCAAGATCTCTCGTTTCGTTTTGAGCGTTTCTGGAAAGCTGCCCATGAACCGATTGACAAGATGAATTCAAAATAGACTAGTATAACAGAAGACGGAAAGGATGTAGTCGAGTGATCAAACTTCATATTTGCGCAAACGTTGGCTGCCCTGTTAAATCCGTTAATTATTTAGGTTCCATTCCCTGAAGTCCTTGTTTACCATTGTGGTGCGCGTTGGATTTGAAATTATTCGAGGCCGCCGAAGCCGCCTTTCTTGTGCTAAAAGTGCTACAATCCGGGTCAAACTTGACCGAGTTTGAAATTGCTCCAAGCAGCTGCAGTGTGTTTGAGATGGCTATCGGTTCTTCTGAGCTTTGCCCTGCTAGTTGAAGGATGTCCTCTGCTTCCTGCGGTCAGCTTAGAGGTTGGGCAAAGGTCACACCAATCCAGGAAATTCCAACACATTCCAACACCATATTAGACCATATTCATGGAGATGGTTTACACATGTTTACTGTTTTCACATTTTCTTGATCCTTATTGCAAGCTGAAGTGAGATGCATTTTGTCCTCAAGGAAGCCTCTCTCTTCTGCACGCGTCTGCAAGTGAGGTAGAAGCAAGGAAAGCCTGGACAGACTCTGGAGAGACTCTGGACTGGCAAAGAGACGCAAAGAGACGCAAGGGGAAACAGACTGGCAATAGTCTTCTACCTGACTCGGAGTCTTCTCTGGTTTCACACTCGGAAGATCCTCGTGAGCATTTGGGCTTCATTGAAGTTTTCTGCTCCTTTTGGCTTTGATTGCTGACACCAAGCAGCAGTTGACCCTGCGAGAGCAACTTCACCGCCTGATGCGAAATGGTGAGGTGGGGAGCGCACAAAGTGACAACACAAAGTGACAATAATTGGCTCCCTGAAAAAGTCCACGTAGCAGAGACATGCAGAGACTACCAAAACCGAGAGTTCGCCAGTTCACCTGTCGAATCTATCTTTCAGCTACATTGTAGATCTTTTTGTAACAAGTTGTCCAGATCCAGTTGTGCAAATACATATCATGCACATATAATATATGCACATCATGTATTGAACGGAGCACGGCACGGCCCCGCTTTGAAAGCCGTGCCATGCCGTGCCATGCCATGCCGTGCCATGCCATGGCGTGCCATGACCGCCATACCCCTAGGCCCTAGGCATCCCACCTGACGCTGGCTTTTATCGAGGCCAGCTGGACGGTCTGAATGATCGAGGTGGCAATATCGACATTCGCTTCCACTTTGGCATCGTTCGCGAGCAAAGAATAAGCATGGGCGATGACCTGAAACCATCCGACATCGCCATCACAGCCAGGCAATAGAGACGAATAGAGACGAATAGAGACGAATAGAGACCGGGGGCAAAATCAATCTAGGTGAATCTAGTCTGAGCCTAGTCTGAGTCTATTCTGAGTCTATTTCTGAAGGCCCTGAACTTGTTTCAACTATCACATCTGGCATCCTTAGAGGGGCATCCGAAATGGCAGCTGCGTGGTGTTTCAGCCAGTTCACTCTAGATGGCAAGCAAGGGTTTCAGTGTTAACAACTTATAAGATTCAGACCTTCAGAGGCTTCAATACGAGACAGAACCACAAAGGATGCCGCTAGTTGAAGCAGTCCCGCAAAATTGCCAAGATGTTTTCTCACGGCGTTACTTTGTTCATTTTGGCCAATGCATCAAGGCCATGCATGACAATGACAATGTGTGACAAGTTGCAGAGCTCCGGGTGCCCGAGGCTACCCTCCGTTGGTTGCCAGTTGTGGGACAAACTGGACTCGGAGGCATCTTCGCCCGGAGAGGTTGAGACCGTGGCGGGGTCAACCTTGCATGGAGTGTCCTGTGTGGCATCGTGGCAGGATCGCACCCGGCCCGGTCCTCTCTGAACTCGACATTGTAATGTTACCTTGTAAAGTTACCTTGAAATGCCTTCCAGAGATAGGAGAGATCTACAAAGATAACGCGTCAAAATCATTCAACACCTCAGATACTAACGGCTCAGCAGGAAGACTTCCGCACGATTCAAGTCGCATCACACGAACATCTCTCAAAGTCTACACATGTCTGCACCCATTGACTAAGAAAATCACATATCATAAAATCACTATTTTGTCTGGTATCCATCGATATCCCCTCAAGCATGTCCCATCCAATCATGTTGTTTTCTCCTGCGGCAAGGGCACATCCTCTGGAGGCTCAACGGAAAGCCGCAATCCCGGTGGTAGGCTGATGTAGGCAGGTTCTGACACTCCCCTTGCAACCATCATCTCGCTGATTCAAGGGGCAGAGTGTGAGCCCCTCAACAGCTGCAGACAGCTTCGCATCACAAAGTGCAGACTGAGCAAACCGAGCAACCCACCAAGTCCAAGCAACACAATCGACACACAATCGACACACCATCAACACACAATCTCAATTCCATCGAAGAATCCGCACCACTGCCAAAGAATGAATGGAATGAACATGAATGAACAATAGGAAAAAGCTGCCCGATCGATTCAGCCACACGACAGCAGAATGGGGAGCAATTCTCCAATCACATTCAGTCAAGCAACCCATAACTT